AGGGAAATAATGTCTTTGTGAATTAAAAATGAAAAAGCTGTGGGTAACCATATTACCAACGTTGGTAGTATTAATGAATTAAACGAGCAGATGGGGGACTTCCCTAGTGGCGCAGTGGTTAAGAATCCGCCTGCTAATGCAGGGGACACAGGTTCGAGCCCTGGTCCAGGAAGATGCCACGTGCTGCGGAGCAACTAAGCCCGTGCGCCACAACTACTGAGCCCACGTGCCTAGAGCCCGGGCTCCACGACAAGAGAAGCCACCGCAATGAGAAGCCCGCGCACCGCAACAAAGAGCAACCCCCGCTCGCCGCAACTAGAGAAAGCCCTCGCGGCCACGAAGACCCAACGCAGCCAGAAACAAACAAAAACAACGAGCAGGTGGTACAAAATGTGTCCCCCGCCCCAACAAGTAACTAACGCCAGCACGATAGCTAGATTACAGGACAGCATTTGTATCACGCCCAATATAATTCTCTTCTTCATCCCTTACTCTTAAATGTACCTAAAGTTAAGGAACTTGTAGAAAAGTGTTCTTCCTGTGTACGTATATTTTCAGAAAAATATGTACACCCCAACTGGGACCCAGAGGCCAAGGGTGGGATGGAAATGAGGTCAAGGCCGAGCTGGCCAACTCAGACTGTAGCGTACACGGCCTCCACGGAGCCGGAGCGACGCCACCTCTGCGCCCTGCATCCCACACAAATAGGATGAGTAACCGGGGGCAGGTCCCTGAAGTTTACACAAGAGAGGAAAACCGGTCTCGGGCCTCCGGGAGCGCAAGGTCCCGCCGGTGCGCAAGCGCACCTTCCCTTCAGAGGGGACCTCACTGGCCAGGCTGGGGAGAGGCACGACCTGCCTCACGAGGCCACGGAGAATGGTCCTTTGGGCATCTGGCCATGCCTGTGAACAAAGACCGGGACCCCGGCTCAGGCCCGCACGCCCCCACCTCTTCCAGCCGTCGCCGCTGCTCCTTCTGCTGCTCGATCCGCTTCTGTCTCTCCGCCAGCAGCTGCCTCTTGTATTCCTCCTGCTCCCGGAGCTGCTGCTCCTGCAGGAGCTGCTGCCGCCTCAGGGCCTCGGAGCGCTCCTTGTTCTCCTGCTGCAGCCTCAGGAAGTCCCGGCGCAGCGTGGACTCACCAGGCACGTTGACGATGGAGCTGCAGGAGGAAGTGGGGCTCTCAGGGGCGCGGGCCACTGCACGCCCACGCCCCGCCTCTCCCGAGCTCCTCCCAGCCCAGGACCCAACGAACTAACAAATGCACGGGGGTAATGAGCCTACGACTCAGTAGCATCACCCCATCTTTCACCTGTGTCATAAATATCTTAAAACCCTGTCCCGGACGTTTGACAGGACATCTCCACGTGGGACTCTCACATCAACTCAAATTGCGATGAAGAGCTGAAACCACCTCCTGCCACACACGTCATTAGACCCTCTGTGACCGCCCCGCTTCCCACCAGGAACAGCAGCATCACGTTCCGGGATTGCCCGGGCGGTAATACCAGAGCAATCTCCAGCACTGGCCGTCCCCTCGCCTTCGCCACGCGGTCCAGCATGCCTTGTCAGCTCTCCCCTCCCACTCTCTCTACTTGCAAGGCCAGCGGCTGAGCCCAGGTGGGTCCCAAGGATGAGCCATCACACAGATAAATTAGCGTCACTCCTAGGTGGTCTCCCGGCTGAGAATCACTTCTCCGCTTTCAAAACTCCCAGAACAAATAGCAAATCAATCTTCCTAAACTGATTCTTTCGTTATATTGCGTCCCTAACCCCAAACAATTATATTGCTCCTGCAATCAGTTCAAATTACTCTAAAAATTTTAGTCTCAGACGGATTCAAATCTTTTATGTAACTATGGAGTTTTTTTCAATAAATTCTCTTCTCTCTTGATATGCTCTCTTCAAACGCCCATTCTCTTGCACACTGGTCCCCACAGGTCTCTCGAACCACCGTCCCTACCCTCCTTTTGTCTAGCTAGTCAGCTACGTGTAGCTGCAGCATGAACACCAGGCAGGCAAGACCATTATCAAAGATTTTAAATCCTCTCTTCCCTGATTAACGAGTCGCTGTGAGGTTCATGCTACCACATATTCAAGCTTCTGCTTCACACTGTACCTCGGGGAGCCAGAGATGACCAAAACGACTATAAAATGGATCAGGACACAATGCACCCCCAAGAGAGGCAATGAAAATGCCGACGACCACACAGGTGGGAAGAGCAAAACCAACCAACCAACCAACCAACCAACCAACCAACAAGTCTTGGGAAAGACTCCAGTGTTTTCAAAGGGGGCCCTGCTAGCTCACGAGCAGGAAACTGTGTGTGTGCGGGCCTGCTTCATACGCTACAAGACGTCTTCCATCCACACCTGCTGGAGCAAGAAACGCCAGTGGCGAGCTCCCCTTCCCCAGGACCAGACACAACCTGCATGTTTCCGAATGACCGGGGGAAGAGGAAGCAATGCAGCCTCGGTAAAGAACCACCGGGTCAGGGGCTCCAGAGGCCGAGAATGTTTATGGGAGTCTTTGAAAGAACAGAAGGATGCAAGATACTAAGGCACTTTCAGGTTAACTGCCGACTCCTTCCCGCTGCCCGGGCATCTCCTGCAGCCCCGGCACCCCCGAGGAGCAGGGTCGCGAGTGCCCCGCCTCTACCTGGGCTCCCCCTCCTGCTCTGGCACCTCCTCTTCCTCCTCCTCACTCCCGCTGTACTCGTACTCGGTTTCATCTGTAAAGAAAAGGACAAGATAATCGAGTCAGTTCACGAAGCGTGACACCGCGTGTACAGGTGAGCGTCTCCAAGGACATCACCGCCCAGTGAAAACCGTATATTCTTTGAGAAAATAGTAAAGTGCGTGGAGAACGTGGGGGGAGGAGGGGTGTGACACCAATTCCCACCGTGAACGGTGCTCGTGCCCTGGGCCGGCCGTACTTCCCACAGAAGAGCAGATTCTCTTGTATTCGAGACAGTCCCCTGTGGGATGCACGGCTACGTGGGGGCAGGGCTGTGAGAGGGGCCCCAGAGCCCTTGACACATAAGAAAAGTGGTCCCGGAGCATCAGCAAATTCACAAAGTCCACTCTGATGCCAAAACTCGAAAGAAAGAGATTAACTGCCCAAACCAAGGCTGTAAGGAATGTATCTGGTTGCTTTCAGCACTCGGGGATTGCCCTGAACTTGCTCTTTGTTAGTTTCTTCTTTGGCCTTGAACTTGGAGTGTCAAAAAAAAATTCAGCAACAGGTTGCCTGTTATCCAGCGTCGTTCTGTGAAGTTCCTGTTAAGAATTCACAGAACAGGAAGGTCAATGGGAGCCAGAGGCCCCAGAGAAGGAGGTTTAGAGAAGACGGTGGTGGAGCCTGGCCTGCACTTGGCTGCGCAGGAGGCACCGCTGAATCTAGGCAGGTGGACACGGAACACGTCAGGATAGGAAACCCAGACACTGGGGACCAAATGGAACCTTAGGTAACCAGCAAAGCGAATGTTCATGTTGTGCAGTGAAGACAGAAAAGCAGTCAGGCCTCACCACACCAGCCCCATAAAGTGCAGGAAACCCTGGGGCTCCTGAGCAGGAGAGGAACGGGACAGCACATGGACGGTGATGTTGCCAGCTGATGCTCGGAGCCCCGCCTGACGCAGACAGAACACAAGGTCCATGATGAAGTTAAAAAGCACAGCCACAAAGATGTGCCCCCGAGGAGCAGGATGGCATCGAGTGCTGACTGGCCACAGTGCCCACTACCCAGTGGCAGCCTGGCAATGCACTGCACAGCGCCGGTCCCCTGTGCTGGAGCCAAGCTGCCCCCTCGGCCCGTCCCTGGGCGCAGAGCAAAGACAGACCACTCAAGCCCCGGCCAGGTGGGCACAAACGCGGGTGGGAAAAGGAATAATAACCTACTCTGGTTGGCAAAAATCTAAAAAACTGTTTTTTTAAGATGAAAACACAAACAGGTTTAATACCTTTCTCTCCTCTCTTCTTCCTGGTCCGGTCTATATGGTCCTTAAGCTGGATTCTAACCTGCCTTTCATTCGGCTGGTCCCTGATAAAAGGATGCTTCAGAAGCTGCTCTGTGGAGGGCCGCTGCATGTAATTCTTCACGAGGCACCCTTCTATGAAACTAAAAAACTTCTTTGACCTAGAAGAGGAAGTAAAAAAGATCGTCAAATTTCTACCGCAAAGAGCAAAGCTCCAAAATATCAGTAACTTACAAGCTTGCAAACAGAGCAGGGCTCCCAAATTCACTGTGAACAACGCTGCAAAGGCACAGGGATAAAACAAGGAACAAAGCAGGGACCATGGGACCCGGAGCGTCACTTAAACACGGTTTAGGAGTCGCACCACACACAGGGGGCCTCGGAGGCAGCTGGAGTTACTGCTGCTTTCTGACCGTGTCGTCACGGGGTAGAGGAGGCCAGGGAGTAAAGGGAGGTCTTTGCTAACGTAAAGATGGCAGAGGAGAGACGGCGGGATCCTCTAAGACAAGGACAGACACAGAGTAAGAAAGGGAGCCGAGTAAGTGACTCGGGGCTTGATCCTGTCACTGCGACGTTGCCATCAGTTTCAGGCTGGTTTACGTATCAGTTCTCTACGCTTAACCTTCAGAGGCAGAAATAATAGTGCTGAGGCGGGCAATGACCCTGCTGTTAACGTTTACCCCACCAGCCACTTTATTTTTGCCTGTTTCTCCATTTCTGGCTCACAGTGACCCCCTCCCTAGCCTCGGCTGATGCACTCTTACCCACCCCGTCCTTCGAGACTGAGCTCAGACGCCCTCCCGCCGGTAAGCCTTTCCCGGCAACACTGCACGCCGCCCTCCCCAGGTCAGGAGCCTTTCCTTTGGGGTTTGTCTGCATGGAACACACTGCACATTTCACATTTATGTTTCTGTCTCTCCTCCTGGTTTAAAACGGTACAGGTCAGGACTGCTGCCCACTTCTCCATTTGTCAGCAATGCCCAACTCCGAGCGTGTAGACTACAATAGGTATGTAATAAATTTTTGTTGAATGAATGAGTTATTCAGTCTTTAAAAATGTGGTTGAGAAAATTAGTTCAGTCCTTTCCAGTTATTTCACTGCTTTTAAGAATCATTTGTATTGTCTTGTTTCTACTCAAACTTACTATTTTTGTTCAATTCAACAAATATTTATGTGTCAACGACGTACACTTATTCATGCTAGGCTCTGTAAGAGATACACATAGGAAATAATGTATGTACACACAATAGCGGATGTATACTCAAACTGCAAGGACGAGAAAAGAACTCCTGCCGACAGTGGAGTGGGTCAGACATCAAGAAAAAGGAGGATTTCTGACATTCCAAAGATGGGAGAGAAAAGCCACTGTTCCAGAGTGACAGAAACCACATGAACAAGGCAGCAGAGTACTACAGGGAACAGTGAATTGTTTCCTGATACTAGTATGAAAAGTGGAAAAGGGTAAAAGAAACAGTCAGGGTCAGCTCAGAGAAGGGCCCTAAAGTTGTGACTTTATTCTACGGTTAAGGAAGAATGCAGAAGGCTCTACACAGCAGTGATGGAATGCTCTTAGCACAGAGATTCCCAACCCCACTGCCCACACAGATCATTTGGGGAGTTTATTAAAAATACAAATGCCTGGGTCACTCCTCAAACTTAAGAAACTAGAAACTTTGAGGTTGGAGCCCTAAGTTAAAAAATTCCAAAGGGATTCTCATGTGCTGTGTACAGATTAACATCTGAGAATCGATGATCTGCAATGTATTCTTGAAAGTCGATGACCAGGTTCTGCTGAAAGAGAGTTCACTAATCATCCTTTAAAGGCCGCTTCTCCAAAAAACAGTCGTGGAAATTTACATCTGGTGGGCAGGGAGACAGCAACCGTAAAGGAAGAAAGACATCATGTTTGTAACCCCCTCCGCCCTTAGAACACCTGGGTAAAATGAGGCAGTGACATAAACTGCTGAGAATGCATCTGATCGAGCTCAGTTAGAGGAAGTTTGGTGGGAGAGCACAGGCAGAATCTACTGTCATCTACACCCGTCTCTTTATCTCACTGTACTATATACACACAGCGGTTAATGCAAACCTGCAAGTCATGGACAGAGTGGGGGCCGACTGACAAAACTGTGAAACACCCCGAGGGTGAAGCATCAACTCGCTTTAACAAAACCTGACAGAAAAAAAGAAAAGGGGAAAGTGAGCATCGTTCAGTTC